TTGATTGATTGTCGATGTTTAGGTGAATGTTTTTGAGGAGATCTAGGCTCTGTAGGTTCTGTTGTTTGTCTGATTTCTGGTTCTTTTATTTCAGGCACAAGCCACTCTTTATGTTCCTCTTCTTTTGTTAGATTCTTCCTTAGGTGATCAGCGTGAACAAATCTTGTGCGGTTTCCTTCCTTAATCAAATAGGTTACAGGGCTTATACATTTGATTACTTTTCCGGGTAACCAGTTCACTTTTTCCTTCCTCACCGAGCGAACAAAGACGTTTTCACCTACTTCAAACATTCGTGTTGAGCCTCTACGGTTATCAGCACTGTTCTTGATTACTTCTTGTTTCCGATTCATATCTGCTGACAAGTTAGGCTTCAGAAGACTCAATGGTGTTCTTGGTTTCATTTTTAAAAACATTTCTGAAGGTGTGCATCCAGTAATAGAATGAGGAGTGTTTCTGTAGGTAAAGAGAAAATTGTCTATTTTGTGTTGGATGGATCGATTAGGTTGATTTTTCTGGTCGTGTAGAAGTTGTTTTAAAAAGGTTTCCTTGACGGTTTGTACCATCCTTTCAGCTAACCCATTCGAAGCAGGGTGGTATGGAGGGGTGAGAACATGGTGGATTCCATTTGTTGTCAAGAATTCCTTAAACTCACTTGAAGTGAACTGCGGGCCTCCATCAGTTACAATTGTTTGAGGTAACCCATAGGCTGCAAAACATGTTCTCAAACGTTCTATAGTCTTCAAGGATGTAGTGTTGGACGACATATAAAACAGTTCAACCCATTTAGTACGACTATCTACTAAAATAAGAAAGTCCTTGCCTTCAAAGTTTGCAAAATCAAGATGTAGTCGTTGCCAATTTTGACTAGGCCATGTCCACGGTTGAAGAGGTACAACTGGTACTGATTTCCTGGTTGATTGACAAATATTGCATTCTGCAACATATCTTTGAATATCCTTATCCATACCCGGCCACCAAACGTAGCTACGAGCTAACGATTTCATCCGTGATTCACCGGGATGCTCTGAATGTAGTAGATTAAGAATTTCCTTTCTGTGAGTCGGGGGTATGACCACTCGAGTTCCCCACAATTAGCAATTTAATTCTACTGATAATTGATGTGTTTTGTCAGTAAACGGTTGCAACTCCTCACTAACATGATTAGGCCACCCATGTAAGGTGTAATCCATCGCTTTTGACAAGATTGGGTCAAATTTTGATGCTAGGCCTATATCCTTATGTGTTATAGGCAAACTGTAAGATGTAGAAAAGAAATTGATTTCTTCAGGTTCCTTCTGGTCGTAATTGCATGGCAGTCGGGACAAGGCATCTGCATTTGATATCTCCGAGCCTTTCCGATAGATAAGTTCATATTGGTAGGCTGCCAAGATAAAAAAACAACATTTATCAACTCGAAATATAATATATATATATATAATATATAGTTTGTCGAATTGTCGACAAACTCAGACTTGAAAAGTGCAAACTATGACTCATAGGAATTTTCCCCGCTTCTCCTTCAAAACCCTTGTTCCATTTCAACTCCACTATCCCTTTTAGTTCACTAGTGAAGCAAACAATCGTCTGCAACTGGAACCAACTGGGATACTTATTACTGAAACAATACTAGCTACTCAGATGTACCATAGACTAAGCAACACAAGTAGACTCCTCATCCCATTGTAAATTTTGAAGCTTGTTTTTTGTGTCTAGTTCATGTACGTCCACACTGATCGCTGGGGTAGACAACATTTTGTTTATATTATTTTAGGGTTATTTTCATGATTTGTGCTTTATTATTTGGTTATATAACCAGGAGACCAGTTATTGTTTATGATTAAATTGTTTTATTTAGTTAAATTATGATTTAAATGACTGAAATAACAAGAAAAAAATTGTAAACAAAACATAACCTCTACAGTTGGACGTACAGAATAAACAATAAAATTAGCTTCAGCTGTTCCATAAGGATGACAAATCTACTAAGGGAGTATGATTTATCTATGGTTGTACGTTACCGCTCCTGCAACTGCTCCTAGATAACAGTTCTTCTCTCCAAACTAGAGCGTGTGTTATTGAAATAACTGCTACTTGAAAAGCCGTTATTTACTCGTAACCACTTGAAGCGCAACTACTCCTCTCCGGCACTTTATTTGTAACAGTTCTTGAACCCTGTTCCTTCTTCCACTCTACTTCGACTTGGACGAACTTCTAATGAAATGAAACTTCCAAAATGGCGGAACCAAACCTGAGACAATTTAAATATATTGAAAAATCGCACTAAAAATATTAACAGGAGAAACTTCTTTACATTTTAACATTTACACACGAACTGAACAATTTAAAACCTCGTCGCCAGATTTGTTGTACATTAACTGAGCTTAATAAATTATTATACGTTGGCCTACGGAAATTATACGGTAGAGTTAAGATGTGCACGTACCTGAAGTATAACGTAGACTGCGTTGTCGTCCTCATCGTCTTGTCTCCAGGGTTTGAACTTTGTACTGTGGACCTTTGATTTCTATGCTATTGTTCTTAACCATTGTAGTTGTCTACTTTACAACAGCTTCCAAGGTTTGTTTTGTGACCCTGTTATGACTTAATTTAATGTGGTGTGGATTAAAACTGGTAAGTTTTTTTTTGTTACTTTAATATTGAAATACATGAGGGGTTTCTTTATATTAAGTAAGGTCTTCATGAGCTCCTGCCACCTGTATGAAGGACCAAGCTAGCTCAACTCAAATTCTAGTGCTGTATTCCTCACTTCCTAAGTTACTAATCTCAGTATCGTTAAGTAGCTCTTAACAATGGAAGTCAAGAGAAAATCAATTGTAATCCTATAGTTAATTATTACGAAATGTGTTAAATTTTTGTAATTTAAGGAGTCAACCCCTATTGAAATCCATCACCATACGACACATGCCTGCTGGGACAAAAGAGAAAATTGTATGTATGTAGTAGTGGTAATTTTGGAGAAGGCCAATCACATTTGCACAACAAGGCTAGCCTCAGGTGTCCTATCAGTTTAGGACAAGGCAGTGAAAACGTTAAACCAACTTTCGTTGTAGAACTCCTTACGAGTAACATGGCAAACCTACAATCCTTAAACAGGCCAATCCACTAGCATTCGCTAGTTCGTCACTAGCGAATTTGGAAGCCATGACAACCATTACATTCTATACTTTGTTCAGTACAATTTATAACAACACCGGGTTCTAAAAAAAATGTTAATCTTACACTATACAGGCCTTCAGCATGGTTAATTGATATTTCACTGTATGACAGAAGTGGGCCAGCAATCTAGGAAACGGGATATTTTCTTCAACGATTAAACCACAAGTATTAGGAGCAACTGAGGAAACTTGAGGAAATGAGACATCCTCAGTTATATATTTTTTTATACAAAATATTCAGCAAAATCTAATTTATAGACTCTAACAGTGTCAACAGTAAACAATAAATTTAAGCATTATTTATGATTATTTCAATTTGAAGTAACACTATCAAGTCAGTTGAACAAAATTAGCCAGTGAGGCAGTCTAAAGTTGATGTTTATTTACCTACCTTATAATTATAACTTAAAATCAACACATTTCCCCAGGGCCAAATACTCTCTCCAACAAAATAGAAGTAACAAATGTGGTTCGGATTTCACTAATAAACTGTAGGTCCCTTAGTTGCCATTAGCTGTATGGGCTATTAATTAACAGCTGTGTCTAAGGAATATGTCGGCCTTAGTCACTAACAAGGCTACAAGATCGCGCCACTCATCCTACACTCATCTCCATTCATACTTGGCTTAAAATGCATACTTTGTATGGTCGCCATTTAATTGAAAAGTATTAAAAAGTAAATAACAGAATAGTAATAGAAGTAACTCAATTAGAAGTAACACTATCAAGTTCAGTCGAACAAAATTAGTCAGTGAGGCAGTCTAAAGTTGATGTTTATTTACCTACCTTATAATTATAACTTTAATCAACACATTGCCCCAGGGCCAAATACTCTCTCCAACAAAATAGTATATAAATACAGTGTATAGCAATTAAGTGAATACTAAAACCAATATCTTAGAGACAAAAAGGTTCAAATACTTGTACAAGATGTAGGCCTAGTTATTTACATTTTCAAAAGTTAAATACATCATTTTTTAAGTTCTTTGTTCTAACTACCAATGATTATATTACTACCATTATACTACTTGGATCAATTTAACTGTTTTATTTTCCCTTTTCTTTGATTTGATTTAAAAATGCGCAGTAGTATGTTGCCCACCACCACAGATACAGCTCTTACATTACTATTGTCAAAGGTTGTACACGTTAGGCTCTCGTTAGTGGGTGGTGATAGTTTTGTTATTTAATCCTTTTTGTCTCTCAGTGCTTGGTGATACAGTACCATTACTTTTAAATTACGTAAAATAGCAATTGTAGTAAGTATGTACTTATTCAGGTAAGTAATAGGTAAGTGATTTTTTATCCGATCTATTAACACGTTTTCTGCAGGCAGAGATTTATGTCAATTGACGGAACTTGTTTTTAATTCCAGAATACCCATAGATTAATGACGTAAAAACTACATTAATAATTTGGCAATGTAAAAAAAAAACAGTACTTTACAATAATGTGGTTTTTCTATTGATGGTAACACCTAGCAGTCAATGGTTTGGGGTCATGGTTCTCAGTTTTCGTTAATAACCATAATTAAGAACTTGCAGCAAACCTGTAATTTTTTTTATGTACTATTAACTCAAAGCAGTCATCAATGTAGTTTCTACTTAATGAATTGTGTCCTAACTAAACTCTTTATAAAAAAAAACCATATTTATGCTTTGAAAGAGATTAGCGGAATTAAACTCACATCCACAAATCCTAAATCCTCTGATCCATTACAATTAAAAAGATTGTGTTTAAAATCCTATGCATTACTTAAAAAAAGAGAATGCTTAAACATTGTCGAGTAAACAACTCATATTTCATTAAAGTTGTTTGTTTCAGGACAATTCAACCAATGATCCTGGACCAACATTACATTGCTCTCAAAACGCAAGTGATCAAGGCTGAAAGAAGAGTTCTAAAAGAACTTGGCTTTTGTGTCCATGTTAAACATCCTCATAAGGTGAGTATCCATTTCTATATTGTATGTTGATTGTAGTTTTGTTCAGTTAATATTAAACTTGTAGTTTAGATTGGTAACTTGTCCTATAGGCTAAAATTAGTTCATTCTTTTAAGAGTTCCCCAGACAAAACTTTTTTTTTAAGAACTTGAGGAATACCAAGCAGGGTTAGTGAAATAAAAGTAGTCATACAAGGCTTCGGACCCCAAGTCAAGTGGTAATTTTTTAACAGTCACACAGTAATCTATTGGACTGTAAAGAGTTTTTAGTAGTTAATTTACTATTTTTTATAGCTCAGTATTTTTTTTTTTTAATTCAAACAAGAATGTTTCATAAGATTATTCACTCTAATTATTACCGTACTGTACAATACAAATGGTTTCTTCTTTATTTCTTTTAGACTTCCCTCCTTGAATCTCTTGTTTATAACAAGTTCTGGCCATAGTTCATGTTCGATCATGTTTTCTTGTCGGATACGTCTAGTCTGTCAGGTTTTTTTGTGTAGGTATAATTTTGCCGGGTATGTGATCTTATATTTTTACAGCATCAACAATTTATTACCATACTTGAATTGATCAGTAATTAAGATTTTATTACAAGTTACAAGATTTCTCATTATTGTTATGTTGATTTAAGATTTAACATTTTTGTACTCAGCACATTTTGTCAGTGTCAATAACACCAATTCTCAAGACCTCATTGTGTATACCTACTCTTTAAAATTCAAACGCTTGCTTTGGAATGTAAATAGATGATTTTAAGAAATACTAAAAATTACTTTCTCGCCTACAGATCCTGCCTTGCTTTGTCCAAGGACGGCACTGGTTATACCTGGTTAAATTGATTGTGTTCTTTTGCCAACAGATAATCGTGATGTACCTGCAAGTCCTAGGCTACGAGAAACACCAGTCGCTGATGCAGCTGTCGTGGAACTACATGAACGACGCGTTGCGCAGTGACGTTTTTGTACGCTACGACCCAGAGACAGTGGCGTGTGCCTGCATTTACCTCTCGGCACGTCGCCTCAAGATCTCCCTACCCAAGGCCCCTTCGTGGTTCAGCCTCTTTCATGTAACCCAGACACAGATAGAGGATGTTTGTAGGAGGATACTGCGGCTCTACGTCAGGTCCAAGGTAAAAAAAATAACAATACTCATCAGGTACATCCTCGGTGCAAATACATTTATTTGGTACCCCCTGGAATTGGTTTCGTAAATACTATTTCTCCAGAACTCCATTATTACCTTCCCTGTAGCAGCAAATCAAAGTACTCTTTTATCTAATGTTATATAAATAGGGAATAAATATGACATTTTAAAATCCAATCAGGCAAATGGAAAAATTCACTTAGTCTTAGGATTGCTGTGAGGGGAGGGGGTATTTAATATTTAATATTGAACAGGGAACAGTCCAAACCCTGATCTTGTTGCTAAATAAAGAGCGACCTTTTGTTAGAGAGCATCAATAATTGATTATGATGACTTGTTTACAGCCCAACTCAGAGGAGCTTGAGAAGAAGGTAGAGGAACTGAGGAGGGAGTACCAGGAGGCTCGACAACGAGCTCGTGGCATCTTGTCTGGCAACAACACTCCCAACAGTGGTGCCTCACCCATCAACAACACCTCTCCAAAGAACAACCACTCTGACAAGAGACGCAGTGAGAGCAGGAGTAGGTCCAGGTCTCGCAGTCGTAGTCGCACCCCTTCCAAACACAAGCGTTCCAAGAAACACAGGTCAGTCTCTTACGTGATTTTAATCCTGTAAAATAGGGTTTTTATGAAATAGGTTGTTTTCTTAATTTGATTTTTAAATATTTATAAACATAGTAGGCCTAAGGGCTAGGATTTGCATTTTTATGAAGAATCTTGCAATAGAAATAAGGTATTGAGATTATTTAGAACTGTTTTCATTTTCTAGCAGATTTTCAGTAATAATAATTTTTCATTGAAACATCCAACTATCGAAATCATGTAAGACCCTCTGTTAGAAGTTCTCTGAATACTATGTACAAAAGGTATGCAGTACATAGTATTCAGAGAACTTCTAACACTCTCCCTATTTGAGTGTTTTCATTTTTAGGTTGGAATTAAAAAAACAAAATTAAATTAAACATTGCTAACCTATAGCAATTTACCGTATCCTATTAGTGTTTCACATACTTGGATTTTCTACTCTTTAACAGTTGTTTGTGAATCAGTAGTCATTGCCTTGAAATTGTAAGTTTTGTACAATCTGTCTTATTTTTCAGCCGAGGCAGGTCAAGATCAAATGATCGTAGGAACAAGAAGTCTCACAAATCACGGCGTAATAGCTACACCCCCTCTCCCTCCCCACCACCACACAAGCGGCGTGAGAAGACAAGATACCGATCACGCTCTCGCACACCTGTGCGTGCCAGTAGCTACGACAAGTATTACCCTAGCAGTGATAGTAAGAAATCCAGAGCAAAGCACCGTCACTGACCCAAGCTGTCCTAATGTTTTAATTTTTTATATTATACATTTTTCTATTTTACATTTTAGGTTTTATTATTTATATTAGAACTTACTGGCATCTCGTCTCTTGTACAGTAGTTGCATAAGATGTGATCCATATAGTACAATTAAATCAATTTTTAGTGATGTATTTGTATCAAATATTGTCAATCAATGAAAAGATTAATAAAATAAAATATTTTAAATGCCCTGTAAAAGTTTACATTATGTGTGTTTTTGTTACTAGAAAGAATCTATTTAAATTGCGATACACCCTGTTTATCATATTATGTTAAGAACCTTAACAGTGTTGACATAATTATGTTCACAATGAATACTAGAAATGTTTACATAATAATGAACAATATTTATCCACTAACATTAAAATCACCAACATGCTACTGTATGTTTAGTTCCCCTTCAAATAGAAGGTATTTTGCCATATTTTGTCCCATTAGTTTTTGTCAGAAGTACTAAAACAAAACAATTTAGTTATAGTGTGTTCTTGCTATGGTTCTCAAGCAATAAAAATAGCCTTCAGAATAATTTTTTAAACCTTGGACCTAAAAGATATTAAAATGTAAAAAACTAATATTATTTGCTGGTAACCATTTTCCGAAGAAGCTTAGTAAATCTTGTAGGTTTTGGTTTAAGTACTATTTTAATGAGCCCAACCGCAAACTGTGTTCTAACATACAAGTTCATAGCAACAAAAAACAATCTATATTACTAATTATATAAGCGATTTAAAAAAATCAAAATTGTTAGAGTTTTAAAGCTCACATCACAGGATGATGGGAGATGGCTCAAATTAAAGGTCTTGGTCCCATGGGGTTGGTAAAAACTAAAAATAGCAGATTATATCCAAAATCTACCAGAAAATAAGAAATAAGGCAAATAACAAAAAATATCTCCCGTTAAAAATTCATTGGGATTAAAAAACGAATGTGTATTTTCATTTTTATGCTACTTTTAATTCTGTTGAATAGAGTCTGTGAAGTTTGTTTACAAATCAACAAATAATTTAGATAAATTCTGCTTTCGTGATCTAAAAATCATCGACTTATTATTTCCAGAGCTGCTGTGTGAAAGATCATTTGATTCTTAGTTTTAAATATAACAATAATTTGTTTTACTACATGCCACTAGTTTATATTAACTATCGAGAATTTTATTTCTCTTTGTGTTACATTTACATTCTGTTGGTACAATTTTTGTCAGTGTCATCGAATAAAGTGGACATAAAGTAATTAAAGTACAAGTACACTAGTCGTGCAAGTTAATAACTTAAATAACCACATATTGTTATTAACTCGGTTGTGGTCTTAACATTTTATGAAACGGCGTTAAAACAAAGCTTTTAGGTGATTTTTTGAGATTTTTGGTACTTGACTATTTTTAGTGGGTTTGACAACTTAATTTTGTTAGTTTCCTTTTATATTAAAACTGACATAGTGTGCTTTAGTCGGCTGTTGAATTTTTGCCAAACTTGTTTTGAATCACCTTTTCTTTATACAAGCTCTTAACAATGATGAGTAATACTATTGTTATAACAAATCAAATTATTTTGTTGCTTGAGTGGATAAAACAAATCACAACCCATAGAAACTTTAAAGGCGAGTTAAGACACCAACTATCAGCAAACTTAAGTTTTCTACCAGACTAATGGCTATGTCAATAGTTTTTATGTGCTTTCATATCTCAAAATGTTACAGAGCTTACTATATTTTTTTTATGGTAATACTTACTCCTTTAATGTAATGACACTGTAATTAAAATGTAAGTTTGTAAATATTGGGTCAAACTATTTTATACATTAGTTGTAAATAAATTCATGTACAAAAGATAAATATCATTATTTACTCCCTTTATAGTTGACTTTTTGACAAATTATTATTAAAAACTAAATAGAATTTTTTTAGCACGCGGCTAGTTTAAATTTTATTGTTAGGGACACAGCTCCATAAGAGCTAGTCTAATAAACTTTATTGTTAGGGACACAGCACCGTAAGAATTAGTGTAAAATTTATTGTTAGGGATGCAGTACCGTAAGAGCTATAGTCCGTCTGTTTGGCTATGATACCCAGCGGATTAGGAACCTTCTCGGAACTCAACTCACCCTTGCGACCCGCTCACTGAGCTGGCCGGAGACAAACAGTGACTCACCCGCTGTCACAGTCCCACAATTCTGTAACTTTTTTTTTATTTTAAGTTAAAATAAATTATTGTTCTTTATATATTTGAGTTCTACATGAAATTCCAAAAATATTGAGTCCAAACACGTGGATACTTAATATCTACGATCTGAAAGTAGTACAATTACTCTGTATCGTCAACCAGTTTTGTCCGACTTTCAGGTCGTAGATATTAAGTATCCACATCGTGTTTGGACTCATAAATTTTTTAAATTTCATGTAGAACTCAAATATATTAAGAACATTTTTTTTTCAACTTAAAATTAAACAAAGTTACAGATCTGTGGGACTGTGACAGCGGGTGAGTCATCTTCATAAATAAATCAAACATTACGCATCACGAAAACCGGCTTATTCTTAAAAGATTACTAAGGAAAACTATTCAAGGAAATTGCACAGTTTTGTTAAATTTGCTAACAATGAGTAAGAGTTATAAGGTATAAGGTATTGTTGATGGAGGAGTCATAATGAAAAAGCGCACAAATTAAAATCAAAAGTTTTATTATTATATTTTTATTTATGGGTACTCTATTGTAAGGTTCATAATTATAATAAATTTAACTTATCTTCTTCTGTTTCGAAATTCAGCTCCTCAACTATTATTTCAATGGCATGGGCTTCTTCCAGAATATGTTGGATCAAGTTTTCAAACCACGAAAATTGATGAGAGCAATCACCCTCTGGGCAAATAAGCCTTTTCGGGTTGTTTGAACATTCAGATTGTTCACTACAACCATAGATTAAACATACTCCTCAAGGACTCCTTGAGGAGTATGTTTAATGCTACAACTATGCACATTACGTTTATGGTTCGTTAAAGTAAATTTACTAGCAAAGTGTTTGTCAAGTGGTTTGTCACAAACTGAACATTCAAACTTTTAGCGAATTTCCCATATAGGGAATAAGCTATTACCGTAGGTCTCATGGTAAGACCTATACCCGAGACCGATTTACTTTTTCGTTTTGAGGTCCACAGAGGCCAAAAACACCATCCGTTCAAATTAATATATATATAATGTATTTGTGTGTGTGTCCGTTAGCGCATAACTCGAGCAAAAATGTTCCGATTTTGATGGAATTTGGTACAAACATGTAAACCTACGTTTATTCGAACGAGTTCACGAACCAGCATAAACGGACCATGGGCACAGGGGTTTATGGGGGCTAGGGTGAAAATGGGGTTTTCTCATTTTTGACCCTAAAAACAAAACATTTTGCAATTTCTTTTGAAACCATTTTGTAGAGCTTAATAAAAAGAAATAATTTAGTGTATTGAAGCGTTGTTGTATGCTCAACGGTCACGGAGAAAATTGCAAAAAAGTGTAATATAAAATTCCCATGTTATTCTTATGGAGGAAATTAAAACTGTTGTAGTTTACTTGTTTATGGAAATATTTTAGTAAAAATGTAATGAGACAAGTTGAAATTCGCGTAGTCTGCAGGTTTGCTGCGGCGATGGTAATTATCAGACATACTGATCCAGAGCTCTTTAACTTGAAATTACACCATCGATTTAAGAGAAAGTGCCCAATCACTAGACAAAATGAAGGTTGAAGACAGAGATCCACGAAAATCAAAATGAACACCTAAAAAGGAAATGGAATGGAACTCTTTGTTTGTAATGTAACGTTTTTAACAAATCTATTCCAAACAGTTCCGTGTAACGGTGTAACTGTTCCAAAAGTTCAAAAAAGGAAGGTGAAATACTGCGGTGAGAAGGTCGTAGCACAGACAAGGGAAACAAAACTTTTATTTCCTTAGTCACCTAGGCTATCTATGGAGGGAGGACTGAGGAGGGAGGAAGTTGTAATTGGAATGGATGGAACTTCAAAACGGCGCTTTTTCGGATTGCAATAGATATGGGTTGGTACGCCTGCGGACGCCACAAACGTGTTGTGCTGGGAAGTCGGAAAGGCATTCAATGACAAAACGGTGCGAAATGATGTTTTTACATGTATATAATTTCAATAATACCATGATAAAACGTGTATACACGTGTTAACTAATTACTTCATGTATTTTATAGGCGTGTTTGAGGCAGTATTGTACATTATACGTAGCTATGGCTTAACAAAACGCGTTCAATTAAAATTCCTAACATAAAAAGTGCATAATCTTTTTCCTAAGCCGATCACATCAACTTTGAGCTAGTCAAATGTTAATATACAATGTGTAGAATAATCAGTATAAATAATATGATTGAGGCAGTCCCATAAACTACGAAGCTACAAGGCAAAATCTATATGGTTTATGGTATAATATACCATAACTTAATGGTTATTTTATTCAGGTGACATAATATGGAAAAATATTGTGCACTTTTTCCATATTATGGAAAAAGTGCACAATATTTTTCCTAAGCCGACCACCATCAACTTTGAGCTATTATAATGTTAATATACAGCGTTTAGAATAATCGCTAATTACCATTATAATAGCTCAAAGTTGATGTAATGGGCTTAAGGTAAACATTGTGCACTTTTTCCTGACGCGAATTCTTATCAACCATATAGATTTGGCCTTATAGCGTCTTAATTTAAAGGACTGCCTCAATCATACTCATACTGATTATTCTACACATTGTATATTACCATTAGAATATCTCAAATTTGATGTGATGGGCTAAGGGTATACCTTGTGCACTTTTTTCCTGACGCGAGATCCTATCAATCATATAGAATCGGCCTTATAGCTCCGTAATTTAAAGGACTGCCTCAATCATACTCATACTGATTATTCTATACGCTGTATATTACCATTGTATAAGTTATTACCATTAGAATAGCTCAAGTGGATGTGATGGGCTTAGGAAAAAGATTATGCAATTTTTTATGTTAGGAGTTTTAATTAAATTAGGTTTGTTAAGCCATAGCTACGTATAATGTACAATACTGCCTCAAATATGCCTAAACAATACATGAATTAATTATTTCAGCACGTGTATACACGTTTTACCAAGGTATTATTGACATTTTATACATGTAAAAACATCATTTCGCACCGTATTGTCATTGAATTGCGTTTCCGACATCCCTGCAAAACACGTTTGTGGTGGCGTCCGCAGGTGTACCAACCCGGAATTACAATCCGAAAAAGCGCCGATGAAAAGAGCCGCTAACCTCACGACGGTCGAAAACCGAACAAACAACAAAAGAAAAAAGCATAACAGCAACAGAACAGAGTAGAGTAAAGTAAACAAACAGAGAGAGAACTCTTAGGCCTAACCTAAGTTTGTGTTGGATAGTCTTTGGTTAAACTCTTAAACCATAGATAAAAAAATAATAGGTAGTCTATGCATGGTTAAACGTTGCCTAAACAGTAGTAACTTCAGGTTAATTTTGTTTGTTTGTTTGATGTCTTAACATAAGAAGTGTTGCCCCATACAATATAAAAGGTTTTATAGGCCTATGCATGGAAATGGACTGAAGAAAACAAATAAATGTGATTTGTGGGCATTTGCAGGTAAATACTTAGTCATTCCATATTTTAATTATTAGAATAAATCCTAGTTTAATACTTATTGATAGGCCTACTATTGGTATTTGTTTAGGCCTACTTTAGGGGCTTTTAACGAATTTTGAAAAAAGTTTTTTTTCTCATTATTTGGCCTATTTTGAACACTTTTTACATTTGGCAAAGGCATCAGCGTGAAACTGGCAATAGATTCATCTACTTCACCCTGAAAATCGCAAAACGTGCTAAAAATTTAATTTTTTATATAGCCTATATAGGCTATATTAAAAAAAAAAAAATAGGCCTACTTTTAATTTGTTTTTACTACACTTAACCCTTAGAGTGCCAGGCGAGAAATAAAAGTAACGCTAAAAAAATGCCGATGATTTTTCCCGAATCAAGAATCAAGAATCAAGAAGTTTATTGGCCATTAAATACAATGTACAGGAATACATTAGCGTACAATAGGCTTTGTCAAATAGTTTTAGTACAAAAAATCTTAAGTTTCTAGTCTAAGTCTGAAATGTACATTTAAGGTATTCTTCAATGCTATAAAATGCTTTTTGTTTTAGCCAGTTTGAGATAGTTTCTTTGAATTTTACAAGAGGTAGATTTCTTACAACTAATGGTAACTTGTTAAATAACAAAAATTGCTGGTAACTGTGACTTCTAAATGATTTGTGAAGGCGAATGTAAGGTGTTACAAGATTATGTTTGTTTCTCGTGCTGTGTTCATGTTGATTACATTGTTCACTAAAATTAACTATATTTTCCTTAACATAAACCAGATTACAAAAAATATACATACATGGTAACGTCATTATTTTAAGACTAATAAAACTATCTGTACAATGTTCTTGATTGTTTTCTAAGCCTACTATGCAACGAATGACTTTCTTTTGCCATATGAATACTCTTTTTGCATCAGCGCTATTTCCCCATAAGCGCAGGCCATAGTTCAAATGAGAATTGAAAACACCATAGTAGACCATTAATAATACCTCAGAACTGACACACTGTTTGAGTTTCCTCACTAAACAAGTAGCTCTAGCAAGTTTTTTACATACAAGGTCAATATGGCTACTCCAGGTTAACTTGCTGTCTAACACAATTCCTAACAGCTTAACAGGTTTTAAAAGATCTTCATATTCATGACTAATACTATTTTTGAGTGTGAAGAGAATGTTTTCAG